GGGCACACACCAGCACATATACACGATCGGCTGGCTATAGAGCCGCCGATTGGGTATATGTTAAACAGCCGGTAACGGCTCTATGCATTGCACAGGTTTTTTCTGCCCGTGCACGCCGGCACCCTAGAGCAGAAAAAAAGGCCATCTGGAGAAGGCAACTCGCTAATGCAGCAGTGCCGGACGGCAACTGGTTAATAATATAGTATATTCCATTTATGTTTGATGTAGATGTGAAAGTCAATTTAAATAGAAAAGAGGGTTCCTTTTTATTTTAGCAGAACTTTTTAAGGTAACACATTTATAACAGTATAATACAATTTGAATCATCAAAGCAATAATGGTGCGTTGTCTGACTTTTGGGATCAAAGGCCATTTTATTGCTTCTGATATCCAGTAAAAGTCTTGGCTCTGTTTCACATTGGGACACAGAGAAGCATTAAACTAGAATAATAAAAATATCAGGTTGAATCTTAGCCACAAGGAAAGCAAGGTATGATTCTTAGTGACCCTCATTTACATAGGTCAATAATGCAGACTTTATTTTTTTTAAAACACTAGAAGCAAAGACCTGCAGCTTAAAAGACATAGCAGCGCTCTTGAGAGATTGTGCCAGAAAACTAGGTCTCTGCAAGACTTCACCCTATATAAAGCTGCCTTCCGAAAATATAATTCCTCACTACGTGCTGCCAAACAGACTTATTTTGTCTCTCTCATTAACACTCTCATCCAGACCACGTCAATTCTTTTCTACTTTTTACTCTCTACTATGTCCCCCACCACCTCCACCCACTAACTTACTCACTGCCCAGGACATTGCCATTCTTTTGAAAACCAAAATAGATACAATTCGGGATCAGGTCTCCACTGTCCAGTCACCTTCCCTTATTAACATACCAGAACCATCATCACACTACTTTATTGATTTGACCCTGTTACCACAGAGGAGGTTACAAAGATTGTCTCTGACACCCTCCTCACCACCTGCCCCCTGGACCCTATTCCCTCACCACCCTCTTGCCTAATCCTGCACTCTCTTACTCACACTCACATTTCACAATCTTTCCCTCTCTACTGGCATCTTTCCTTCCCCTCTAAAGCATGCACTGGTCACCCCAATACCCAAAAAACCCTCACTGGACCCAACCAACCACAATAATCTCAGACCTATCTCCTAACTCCCATTCACTTCCAAACTACTAGAACGCCTTATATACAACATCCTGAGCCGCCACCTTACTTATAACAACCTTCTGGACCCCCTACAGTCCAGTTTTCGCCTCACACACTCAGCGGAAACTGTCCTCCTAAAACTCATGAATGACTTACAAACTGCTAAAAACAACGGCCACTACTCCTTAATCTTGCTATTAGACCTTTGTGCTGCTTTTGATACTGTTGACCACCCGCTGCTCCTCAAAAAACTCCACTCACTTAGCCTACAAGACTCTACTCTCTCATGGTTCTCCTCCTACCTATCTAAGCGCTCCTTTAGTGTCACCTACAAATCCCCTCCTCTTTCTCTTTCTGTAGGGGTTCCCCAAGGCTCTGTCCTTGGACCCCTTCTCTTCTCTATCTACACCTCCTTCCTTGGTCAGTTGATAACTTCACATGGCTTCCAATACCATCTCTATGCCAATTGCATTTAAATATATATTTCTACTCCACAACTCAACCCCTCAGTGTCCTTGCGTGTCACTAATCTACTAACTGATGTATCAGTCTGGATGTCACAACACTTCTTAAAACTCAATCTGTCCAAAACTGAGCTCATGATATTTCCTCCTACCCATGCGCCTTCTCCCAACTTTTCCCCTGAGATTGATAAAACTGCTATCCATCCCTCCCCATGCCAAGGTTCTAGGTGTCATCCTTGACTCGGAAATTACCTTTCTGCCCAACATCCAAGCAGTATCCAAATCCTGCCGTCTTCTCCAAACTCTGTCTTCCTTATATTGCAAAGTGCTGTGCAAAGTATTATATTGTAATTGTAAGAGGGACTACAAATCTCAGCAATACATTATACAGCAATACAGAATACCACCAGCTATAGAGGACTACAAATCCCAGTGATACATTATAAAGCAATGTAGAATACCACCAGCTAGAGAGGACTACAAATCCCAGCCATACATTTTACAGCAATGCAGAATACAACAAGCTATAGAGGACTACAAATCCCAGCAATACGTTATACAGCAATGCAAAATAATACCATCAACTAGAGAGGACAACAAATCCCAGCGATACATGATACAGCAATGCCGAATGGCAACCGGCTATAGGGGACTACAAATCTCAGCAATGTATTTTTTTATCAATGCAGAATAATATGAAGCAACATACTCTGCACTGTTCCAGGCTGCCGGCCTAATGTCTCCAGCGAAGGATCTGAGGTGACTGTATGGGGTCTCAGAATGTTGGATCGACTGAACGGCTTCTTCACTTCGGCTCAGCCGAACATGCAGAGTATGTTAAGATGACTGAAGCCAGCCGAAGTCAGCCGATGTACAGTTGAAATCAGCTGTACGGGGCTGAAGTGAATATCCGAACGGCATTCGGCTCAGTTCACTTCAGTGCGGTTATTCACACGGCTGCCTTCAGCAGCTTAGTGAATAACCCCCATACACTAAATTAGTGCCTGCTATTAAAAAACATTCTGAAGGGCATACACTCAAAGTAAACCCTGCTCTCTGAAATGTTTCTCAATTGCAGACATGCCATATTGTGTCACAATCCGGGATCCAGTAGCTGAAACAGCAGGCAAATTCGTGGTATTACAGGCCGAGTTCAGTACACAAGCAGACGGTAGTAGTGTAGGAGTGGGCAGAAGCATAGTAATTGAACAAGCCGAGGTCAGTAGCCAAAAGTATCAGGTATGAAGCAGAAGACAATGAGAGTAGTCGGTGAATCAGCAGCCAAATGTCGGTACATGGATAGCAGTATGAGAGGATTGTATCACAGAAGGAGCAGGAAGCAATATATTGGCAGGAGCACAATAATCTGGCAAGCAAGAAGTGCAGAGGAATGGCTAAAATAGGAAGTTCAAGGGAGGAGCAACGAGTTCAGAGTTCAGCAGAAACTAGGTTTGCCTGAGGATTACACATGAGAGCAAGCAAGAAGCTATCCAAGGTTTCAGAGTGGCTCACCGCCAGACACAGCAGAGGCTCTGGGTTCAGATCTGGATCCTGACACATTGTAAGTGTGTTGTACCCACTGAATCCAAGTGCTCTCATCCTTCCGACAACCCCTTTTATTGTGCCAGTTCTGCAGAGATTACGATCATGCCTCTGCAGTTAACAGTTAACTCCATCTTCCCTATCCCTCCTCCCACCGACACTCGTCATCTAATAACAGAGTCTCACAGTATTGTGCATGGAGGTGTTAAGTGCTGGAGTTTGCATGTGAGGAGTGTGTATTAAAGGTGGAAAAAATGTATGAAAACTAGATTTTATTAAATACAGCCGATACCATAATTAAAAAGGGAAAGTCAACAAACCACTGTATTTTACAGACAATTAATTACCCTGGTGCAAGTCTTTTTTTCTAAACTTGCCCAAGTTTTAGCCTTTACTTTGTTTGCACAGATGTAAAATGTTGTTGCAGAATTAGTTTGTCTAGTATCCTAGTTTTCTTAGCACATGATTTTGTGAAAACAGACATAACATACAGTATTTAAGTACTATTTCTATAAGCTCATACTCACTGATTGGGTTTAGCTTGAGCATCTATATACAACTCTAAGGATTGCAGAGTGTTGCAGTTCATCCCCATTAAACTCAAATAGGGATATGAAAGAAAGAAACCAGGTGATGGGTTCCATGAAGAATTTATTTTATACCACTTTCAGAAAATGTGTAAGGGAATGTACTGGTGTGTCCATATTATTTGCAGCAGATGTTGTATTCCAACAAACCTCACAATAAAGTAGAATAAAATGTTTCAATGCAGCTATTAGAAAGTACTGTACATTTGCATTCTTCAAAGCGAAGCTGTGAGACAGCCATTTAATCAGAGAACATTGCTATGTAACCAGCATAAACATTATGGAACAATATACTAAAGATCTTACCCTAGTGTCAAATTAGTAGCACAGCATCAGAAGCAATGATTTTAAAAGGAAGTACTGTATTAAAGCATTGTCATGTTTGTATGATTTATGCAAATAAGAATATCCTATTTGTAACATCTAAGGAGCCCACCAGGGAGCATAGCATAAAACTATGGTGCACACTGAACTTTTGATGGCAGCAATTTGTATTTGGAAAGTTCAAAAAGTCGCATCTAAATTGTCTTTGCAGATTACACAGTGATTTGCCATTAGTTGCTAAAATGATAACAATAAATGCCCATTTGAAAAATCAGTGTTCCCACTGAGGATCATGACAGCCGATAAATTGAAATAAAAGTAACACAACCAACTCAAAGATAAAAAGCAATCTGAATACATTGTGCTCAGCATGAAACTTACTAACAGGCACAATGTTTTATTTTTAAGTCACTTGCCTTGTAAACTGTAGAATTCGCCAACACTGTTTTGTCTGGTGATATGGTGCCAGTAGGCACTCCGGGGAAGTGAGATGGACTTGGACAGTGTCATTGGTTCAGTCGTACTAGTCTGAAGCTGAAAGACAGTGTGAAAAAGGAAGCATTTGTAAAGTGTTTGTCAAGACTTTAAAGTATATTTGAAACATTATAAAATATTATAATAAGAATTATACAGTATTATAATAAACCAAAAGATGTATACATATGTAGTGCACCCCCCCAAAGAGCCGCAGAGAATAGTTGGGTCATCCATAAAGCCTGTCTAGGGGATTTCAGTATCTGGCTGCCCCAATAGCACTTACCACTATGTATGGTGACTGATAAAAACGAGATCCAGGCTGTAGATAAGATGCTGATGAACTTTATTCATGAACTTCAGGGAGAGAGGGTCAGCGTCAGGATCATACAGGCTAGTATAGACTACTTCAGTCAGTAGAACACAGTAACTGCGGCCATTCACAGACCAGGACCTTTAAATCAGATTGGGCAATCTGTGTGTAAAGCACCCCGCAAAGCAGTAATTGAATAATAAGTCATCAGACATCTTTATCCTTAGTATCAGTAGTAGGCACTGGGCCCCAGACTCAGGCCTCATGGCTAGTCTCCAGACTTCAGGCCTTAACAGTCAGTCCACATAACTGACCTGGGGGAGAAAAAAGCACCTCACATGGTCTGCACCAAGTATTCCTCTCCCAGCATGCACCACCAGCCAACAACCTCCTGGTGATTGGCTAGAGAGACATACATAACAATCCCTTATTGGTTGCTCTGCTCTATGGCAGGAGTACGCCCAGCAGCAGGCAGGTGCACACAATACCTGATTGAATAGGGAAAACCAGATGAGCATAGACTACAAATCAGCATCAGATGGCTTACAATCGGACAATACTAAAATTCCTAAGCACTCCTGCTTACAGGGTGCTACACATAATTAATATGTATATTTTTTGTAATCTTAGAAAAGCTCAGTTTTAAAAACTGGGACAACAGGTGGAAAAGTGTTTAAGAACAAATATATAGGCCAGGCTGCTATGAACCACATTATAGGTGTCATTAACAGTAATCATTAGCTCCACTGCAGCACAGATTCTAATTAACACCATGAGGGTTATTCACAAAAGGGTGAAGAGTTTGGAGAAGGCAGGAGAAGTAGACAAACTAGGACAACATAGCTGAACTGGAAAGTGAGCTGAATTGGAGAATGTTGGCCTAGATTGATTACTTCTCCTGTCTTTTCCAAACTCTTCACCATTTTGTGAATAAACCTACATGTCTTAAACTAGAGCTCCTTGTAAAAGAGGTTGGATTTGGATGCAAGAATGCTCTTTAGAATTATTATACTGGTTACCACACGATGATGGCAGACAGGCATTAAACTTAAGGGTTTAAAGTGAACCTGAGCTTGCTTACACAGGCCATTTGCCAAGAGTTAAGAAAAAAAACTGGTACTTTATGTGACTTCTTGGTGACTGGTTAGTGACTTAAGTACCCAACTTTGAGAGTTTTTCCCTCGCATTATTATGGTTTTTGACACCAATGAATATAATCAATAACATCAAGCATTCGGATCAGGATGACAGCTAGGTAACTAGTATTTTTAGGAGGAGGCCTACATATTTCTCTTAGCACAGATGTTCTTAAATGTTCTTTAATTCTTCAGACACTGAAGTGGTAACACTGCCCCAACCTTGCGTTTTTTTAATCAGTTGCATATTATCACACACTAAAAGGCATAGGTTATTTTCCATCTACAACATGTGACTGTCAGAGAATGCCAGGTTGGAAGCCTGGTGCTGTGTGCTATGTAATCTATCCAGTTATAATATTAAAGAGAACAATTTAAAGATAGAATGGGTGTCTTAAATTATAAAGATAAATTGTCCCCCTTTCCGTGTTTGCTGAATAAATGCAATAAGCGCAAACGCTGCCAGCTGCTAAACCAAAATTGCTCTTACCCACTTGTTACAAAACATAAACAAAAAGAATCAATGTTGCACCTATATAAATACATATATTATATACATAAAACACCACATGTAGTGATATAACGTAGAGCCAAATAAAACAACAAACACATTATAATGCAAAATGTCTCAATATATCAAAACAAATGTCCTTCTCAGAAAATACATCTTCATATCATTCCATCTGTCACCACCCTCCACCTAAAACTGAAAACACACTCACCAATTGTTCTACCTTTCTGTTCCTGAAAGGTATAATAGCTTGGCGAATAATATGTGGCAAACTCATCCACATAGGCACATTCCACCTTTCACTGCATCACCCTTCCAATTAGGTACAAATAAAAAATCCCCCTCCAATTAGCCCTCCAATTAGGTACCCCCCAATGCAATTAGGTACAAATAAAAAATTCCCCTCCAATTAGGTACCCCCAATCCAATTAGGTACAAATAAAAAATTCCCCTCCAATTAGGTACCCCCAATCCAATTAGGTACAAATAAAAAATTCCCCTCCAATTAGGTACCCCCTATCCAATTAGGTACAAATAGAAAATCAGAAAAGCAAACTGCACATCCTTGTGTAAAATACTTATTTGATGTTTAAAAACTTGACATGTATCACATTTTTTAGTGTTCACTACAACACTATGTAACAAGGCATCAACAATGTTTAAAATAATGTTCCAAGCATCTCCCCCGTTCATGCAGCCCGTCGGTCAAAAATATTTTGTCTGCAGCTCTCACAGACTCTGCCCCTACTACATAACCAGGATGCATTCTGACGCATTTTGTCAGTATTGACTTTGTCAAGGGTGCTGTCTGATCTCACATACTCCCTCTTATGCAAGCTGTTACAATGATAACACTGCCACAAATTACCAGACGTGTCCTCCTCACTGTTGCTCAAAGCAGTCTTGCAGGTTTTAGAGAACATATACAGTATAGTTACATAGTTACATAGTATTTGAGGTTGAATAAAGACATTAGTCCATCAAGTCCAACCTATTAGGATCTCATTCTAGGAGTACCCGTAATATATTATATATAATATAATAAAGATAACAAGCGATAACCCGCAAGCAATTTCAGTCATCCTGCACTACTATCTTCCACCTCAGCTGCTTTTTTTATCTGAATTGGTATTGATCAGATGAGATGATCTTTTGAATCCTCTATACTAGCTGAGTATCGGAAGATAATCAGGTCTGAAACATTCTAACTAGTTATTTATTCAGACTTGGTATGGATTATTTAAATTGATTGACTAGAATTCTTATGGGTTTAAAATGTAGAGAAGTAATGCTAGATTTGACCATCTTCTGTTTAATATATATTGTCTTCAATAGAGAAGTAGGAACTAGGAACTATAGTACATATTCCTTTTTTTCCAGAATAAAGATGCCTATTGTATATAATAAAGTATCTAATTTAATAAAACAAGGAAATATTTGACCTTTAATTTCTGGAAACATATATCTTATTCAATTTAAATCTATTTTATTCTTTATTTATTATGCAGTGTTTCCGTTTGTGATTTGCTTCATGGTTGTTGTCCACTGTTTTTCATAGATCAGCAGAATGCAGGTTTTTTTTCAGACCACAAGACAACAGACATGTGAGAACAATGTAGAGAAAATAAATGTCAACATTCATTTTGATATGTCATGTTGTGCTCTAGTAACATGCTCAGTTCCTGTTGGTTTGTGGAAGTAACACTTGGACAGCAAGCTGTTCTAACTATTCTACATGCAGACAGTAGTATTGCACTAATTAGGTAAATATTTCAGAAAGCAAGAAGTTCTCAGGAAACAAAACACAAACTGAAACCAAGCATTAAATTGCTAATTATCTTATAAATTGCAGAAGACCTTTCTAATTCTCATTTTGAAGCACAATAACATATGGTACAAAAGATAATTCAAACATAACAAATAATAATGAGAATATGCTTAAATTTTTCAGGATTTCTCAACTGCGATATTAATGCAGGGGGAAACAACTTGAATAATAAAAAGACTGCCACAAAGCAAAACACCTGCGTGATTAGGCTCTAACAGAAGCAGGCTATTGCACAACAGTTCCCTGGTACACTCAATCAATAGATATGACTTCACTGCCCCCAGAAATAGTAAGTGGCACATGAGTGGGTTAATGGATAGCCAGAATTTAATTTAGGCTTGACTGGTTCCTTCTGTCATTTGCTCATTTGCTACTAGATAGGCCTTTAAATGTATCAAATAGCTACAGCCTCTACATAATGCAAAATGTGTACCAAAAAAAAAAACTTGTGCATTTTGTGATGCACGCCAGAATTTGTTCTTCAGTATTTTGCCTATACAGAGCAGAGGGAATCTAGTAAAGGTTTATTTCCCTAATTTTTTGCAAAACATTAGTATAATTACACCACAGTGTACTAAGTCCGTAATCAATATAGCAAAATGTTTTTGTGTTGTGTTAGCCAGTGTTTCTCAACCTTTTTTTAGTCATGGCACCTTTTAAAAGTATGCACAATCCAGTCTAAAATGTAAGAAACGTAAATGTAAAAACCTAAAGGCAAGAAAAAACCCCAAAAAAGACATCAGAAACCCCACCTCCACTTCAGGAGCCTGATTCACATCAGAAGTCCCCCTCTACACATCAGAAGCCCCCCTCTACACATCAGAAGCCCCCTTCACATTGGAGTCCCCCCGTAGCATACATTTTAAGGCACTTCTGACAAAGCCAGCTGCAGTAAACCATATCAGCATATTCAGTATGACATGGCTTGCCAACATCATAACTATATACACCACTCTGCCCATAGTAACAGCTTGACACTCATGACAAAAAAATGATGCCACTAATAATACATAATAAGATGTTGTATTGTATTGCATTGCAATACAAAAAAAAGCAGGTTAAATAATGTATGATGTTGAGAAATATATTCAGCAGGATAACTTGGCTGTGTTTAAGGGGAATTTAAACATAGCTTTCTTATGCCCATGACTGCTTTAGCGAGGCTTAAACACACAGTTTTTTATTGTGTGACATAGTCCCTTTAACTTATTTAGGATATACTCAAGAAATTCAATGTGGATAATAGGTTTTGTGTTATATAAACACAAAAAA